ATATATATATATATATATATAGGTTATCAGCTTAATTTAAAACATAAATATTATCAGACATTTTCTGCAGAAGTTTAAATATAAATATCTGAAAATAATAGAAAAAAAAAATAAAATATATTAATAATAATAATAAATACATTTGAAAAAAAATAAAAATATATATAAATACAATTTTAAGTAGATCGTGATTTGAAGTGTTGTTAGCAGCAGCAGTAGTAGTAGTAGTACTAAAGTCGGGAGAATGAAAAGTGGCCGCTGATGCGAACGCCCCCGGTGGCAAATATCTGTAATTGGTGTCCAAACTAATGTGAAAAAAAGGCGCGTATTTTGAATTATTAAATGCAATGTATTTACATATTTTCATAAAAATATATTGATTATGTCATTTAATAAAAATTCATTACAATGTATGTACAAGTCATATAAAAAAAATTATTAAAAATATTTACAAAATAATAATATAAAATATAAAATATGTACATAATTTAAACTAACTTTCTTCATCAATTATGTCGTCGTCATCTTCTTCATCGCCCCAATCGCTGTCGTCGTCTTGTAATGTCATGATAATTGACTCCAATGAGATATCCCTCAATATTTCTTTTTCGTTGTCTTCATTTTGAATTTTTTCAGCGTGTGCAACACACTTTTCCCAGTCGTTTTGTGTCACTGCATCAATAGCCGCGTGTGCCAACTTTTCGACATCTGCCATCTTAAATGAATTGTTCTTTTTGGCTACCTCCGCTTTAACCTGTGCCCAAATCAACTCAATAGGGTTGTACTGACAATGGTAGGGAGGTAACCTTATGACTTCGTGACCCATTTGAAGTGCTATCTCGTCCAGCTCGTACCGTTTATACGTTGGAACCAGTTTTTTTACTCGCTCACATAATTCGGACAGCCGTTCTTGTGGTGAAAAATTAACATTTTTATTTTTCAGCCATTCTTCAACAACGGCTTTCCGGCTATTGCTTTTGGGAAAATTGTCCATCAGCATTGAGTGGTACGACGCATTGTCCATGACGATGACTGATGGCTCTTCGAGGTGGTTCAACATTGAAATAAACCAATTTCTAAATACATCAGCATTCATAGACGTATGGTAGTCGCTTTCAAAGTTGCTAACATTTGCTCGAAAAATTAATTTTGAATCATTAACAAAACCATACTTCGCAGATCCAGCGTGGCAAATAATGAGACGCCCTCCTTTGCCCGTAGGAACTTTTAATCCAGCGGTCTCTTCATCATTTTGCCATATGCGTGATCTGCTGTGGTTTTGGTTAATCCACGTTTCATCCAAGTACACGATAGGATGGGTGTCTTTTTGTTCACGTAGTGTACAAATTTTTCTTAAAAAAGTACAACGTAGTGCAACTATGTCGTTTCTTTCCATAAGGAATTTCCGACCATCGTTGCACTTTTTAAAAGAAAATTTCAAATTTTTTAATAGCGAACGCATCGACCACACAGATCCTTCCCAAGCGCACTTTTTCCTCACTTCAGTTAAAATTGTGAAAGCTGTCGGGTACTCACCCCTGTCATAAAATTCGTGGACTGTTCTTCGTACAATGTCAGCATCAAAATCGTCTAACTCGGTTAATGGTTTTGAACGTCTATATGTTTTCCGCGGAGACTTGAACGTAGGGCCTTGTACTTGTACCGCATCTTCGAATGTTACACTATCTCTACCTTCCTTGCATATGCGTCTCACAGTTCTCTCAGATAAACCACAAGCTTCAGCAGTGACTTTGAGAGACTGTGCAAACATCGACGGAAGAATTACGTCTTGTTTAGATAGGTTTTTTATAAATTTATAAACATTAAAAATCACTTTTTTTGTTTGACTCCGAGTATCACTACCACTTTTACTAGCCATGATTATTTAAAAATATTTAACTGAAAACAGTAATAAGTAATAACTAATAAAAAAAATTATGTAATTTACTTTCTGAAGTCTAATATAACACGACACAACAGTTAACACGTGGAATAATCGTTGTCGAATGACAAATATCAGAACAGGGAAGCAAATGTTGTGTATACTGTATACAACACACATTCTTTTTTTTATATATAATCATATATAATACATTATATTATATTATGTGGTATGTGGTGTGGAGGGAGGAGACCCCACCATATAATAAAACTACAATAACCGAGGGTAAATAGGGAGAAAAAAGGTCTATAAAACCAAAACCGCCCGTACAGGTGGTTCACGGTGAACCGGTTTGAAGATGTATACCGATCGCGTTCCTCGATTTTCATTATGAGAACCCCTGTTTTTAGCAAAAAAAATCGTTGCTATCATATTTGCCAGCGGCCACTTTTCATTCACCCGACTGTAGTAGTTTTCACGTGCACGCGTAGTGACCATGTGCGAGCGTGCTTACTAAATTCGGCTGTACCACCCTCTTATCGTCTGATCTGTTTAACGTCAACTTCATAGTCTTAATCGTTTTAACACTATGGTTGAACGAACGTATGGATATATTTTCTCTAAATGGAGTGTACAAATAAGGAGGTATCGTTTTATGTGATAACGGTAACGATGATGATGATGAATTATTATTATCAATAGATATTGCAGCATTTTTATATATAGTATCAATAACACGGCTTGCACAGTATGAGGCTAACCATTTCTTCGAAGCCATTTTCGTATCATTATCATCACTGTCCGTCTCCACGTTATCATCGTTGTCAGAATCAGAACCGAACAAGCAGCGCTTGTAATCGTTGAGGTTTAAATGATTCCTGACGACATGACTCCTAACCCCCTTAGCTTTTATACACGTGACATCTTCTATATCGTACGCATATGATTTGGCCCGGAGTGCTACAAACTCGTACATCGTACGACCCTCCGTTTCATCTTTAAATAATCCTGGAATTTTCTTACGTGTCGCCACATAACACGGGTGGTCCAACGGAAGATTTGACGTATCCATATGACTCAATAAATTAGGATTATCCAATAGTTCTTTGTAAAAGTCATCCGTCATTATGTGATATATCAATGAATCTAATAAGCATAATATTTAATTTGAGATATGAGAATAATTTATAATTATATAAAAACTTACCAGTGTCAGTGTACAGCAAACTAATTCTGTCTTTAAAGTGTATCTTCATCACATCATAATGATATTTATACATTAATGTTTTACTCAAATCAAGTAATGTAAAACCTATAAATATCGGCTTGCAGAAATTAATTTTTTTATGATGTGACGAAACCCCTGTCAGATTTTCATTATAACTCGTACAATATTTAAATGTCGTGCTGTTAATAAGTTTAGTCATTCTATTCTGCGAGCAGACTAATTCAATATTAATTCGTTTACGCATTGACTCCATAGTTTTACCTGTAAATTAAATGATATATACATTTATGAAATTACTAATAATAATAAAAATAATAGTTTATTACCAAACATTGATTTAACCATTAATTTAAAAAAATCTCTTTCAAAATCGTTAACAGCCTGTTTTCGCTTTTCAGTGTTCAATGCTATGTACGGAGCGAGCCATGGCGATTGATTAAATTCTAATACTCTATGAACCTAATGAAAATAAAATAATCATAATATCATAGTAACAATAAATAAAATAAATATTACTTTTTCCACGATCAATCCGTGTTGTATAGCTTGAATGAGATTAACATAATGCACGATATAATTTTTTTTGGTTTCTAACGTTGCCATCAGTTTACGAACGTTAGATCCGCGTGGTATACTGGCATGAGGTAGGAAAGGTAAATCATTATGTTCATCGTGTAGATGTACCGGGTATGATATATCTACTTCATAAATTCTACCAAAACTATCGTTTTCAGTCATAGTCTCCAGTTGAGCCAGTGCCACGTCAAGATTACCCTCATACCACTTGAATCCACCGTACGGTATTGATTTACACATCGACCATCCGTATAAATTATTACCTAAAATTATAAAATGTCTTGAAAGTTAAAGATTAATTTTTTCAAAAAAAAAAAAAAAAATCATATTTACAATCTTGATAAACGAGATACGATTTTGGTTGATTACAATCAAACCCCGGAGTCTTTTCGTTGTTGGATCGAGCAAATCGTCGAGAAGCTTGGACTAGACCACCTCTTATGCCCGTCTCAAGCATGAGTAATTTATCGTAATCACTGACGAGCTCCAACTCTATCCTCGTGTATTTCAACATGCTATCAAATGTTAACGCAGGTGATGTTTGATATTTTGAAGCATCGAGGTTATACGTTGAAATACAGAGATCGCGAAAATTTTCAAACACGTCAGCCAGTAACAATACGTCTATCTTCAGGTATAGATCACTATAATCGCCTAGAGTCTGACAATTAAAGTGAGTCCATACCTGCGTTGCGTGTTCATACTCTTCGTGCTCGATGTGTGCTTCAAGTAATGTACTGTAAAAATGTTTTTTCTCAGGCAGTCTCGTCTCACTCAATCGTTGCCAGCTGTTGGTATATTCGTAGGGGTACACGCCTTTCCTGGTAACTAGAGGCATGTCGTCGGAGCAGAAAACTTTCGAAATTTCACCGAACTTTGCAAAATCATCTGTTATTAGATTTTCAGCTAGCGTGGACAGTTTTGACGCCATAAATCTGCAAGAATCAACAAATCTGATCGAGAAGTTATTATCGATATATTTGGAAAATGATATATAATTTTCCTCGCTGTTAGCAATTACCGAGATACGTTGCTCGTTGTATCCCAGTTCTGTAACGATGAAGTGTGCATCGTATCTCGATAAATTGTGTATGAAGCACGGAACAAAGTTTTGCGTTACCAGTTTAAGATTGCAATTATTGCAGAGACTTTTTAAAAACTCTCCCGTTAAATGATCATGGTGTGCTACTAGGCGGTTTCCATGCGAGAACTTGATTTTACACAATTCGCAATGTATTTTTGTATGGTGAACACGCAGTTGCTCGTCGGTAATAACAATCGGAACGTTTGTTTTACTAAGAAGCTCGTGTATCCTCTCCGCTATACTGGTCACGGCCATAACAAATTGTTTAGCTACATCATCGGCGTTCTCAGATCCGCGGTAAACTACGACCGACCGCGGAATTTCGAATTGTTCGAGTAATTCTGCGGGCACGTGATCGCCTACCTTTACTATGAATCCATAGCTCATTGCACGATGTTGTTGAAACGTTCGAGTGTTTGATCCGTGCTGTTGTTCAATAGGCAATAAAAGCGCTTCAAAATCGGCATAGATTACAAACGGTAATCTTTGAGTTTTACGCCAACCCTCGAATTTTAGTATGTCCCCCCCTGTGGCATTACGGGGACAATTGCTCGGTGTACCTTACATATTTTCTTGTGTGCCGTTAGCGCCTCTTTACCGTATAATCTATATTTTAACGGTTGATTGTTAAAAGTCGTAAAACATTTTTTACATATAAACAACCGATGTTCATGTCTATTTTTTTGATCGCTTATAAGCCGTGTAAAATTTGATATATAACAATAGTGACTTTTCCCCGTGTCTACGTCGTTTATGAATAATAAATCGAAGTGATCTTCTTTCTCTGTATCGCAGACCTTTATCGGATGTACGATGTCTTTAGATGACCTATTATTATTATTATTATTAATATTATTAAATAATCCGTACACGTTAACGGAAGTATTAGGATTACAGCGCTCGAATAATTTTACATCAGATATAGGTGTGGGCGTTGTTATCTGGGAAAAGTCATATCTATGTTCTTCATCGTAATAATTCGAACCGACCCGTTTACGAGTATTATTTTTCACATGTTTTGCGAGAATCGCCCACTTAAAACACTCTTCATCGATATTCTGCGGGTTTATTGTACTTTTTTTCTTCTCTATATTTTCCGGTAACGGAATATAAGAACAACCGCCTAAAGGAGTGTATTTATACACCCCCAAAAGGACACCGTCTATACACGATAACGTAAATCCACTCCCCTTTGTCATGTACTCGTCTTCTTCTGAGAGGAGTTTTGAAAAATCTGCTTCTACTACAGTCTCTACGTCACTATGTATAAACAGCTCTTGTGCGCACGTCTTAAATGACCGATTCTCAGCCTACAATTGTACATGTGGAATAACATATGTAGATTCTAATTTCAAATTGTATTTTATCGGATGAGAAATTACACTTTCGCGTAGTCTGTCAACCAATTCCGCTTTTATAGATTTAAGAAAAACACGATAATTATTTATATTATCTACATTTTTTCTAAAATACCATACTACAGTGCGGGAAAAAGACGAGTCGATTTCACGAAATCCGGGTCCGTTATTATTGAATACACATGAGGTCATACGGTTTTTCTTTTTTTTCACATTTCTCACAGAATTATCATTGTAACGTTTACGCGATACGATAGAGCGCTTGTTAGCTATAGGATAGCTCGTAGTGATAGCAGCGGTAGCATTCGTATTGGAGATAGAAATGTCTGTACCGTGAACGGGCGGCGGCGACAATGATGACGACGTGTTGTCGGCAGTAGAGGTGGAGGGGACGCTCATAACAGATATAATATTACTATCTCCAGCAGCTGACTGCTTTAACGTGTGGTCTATTTTATAAAATATTTAGAAAAAAAAAAACTTAAGATTAATAATTTACCAGTATGGTTTGATATAAATATTATTACCTGATACTAGAGTATTGAGCGGAGTTACTAAAGCGATTTTTTTCACCACAGCCCGATTAAAATCATTCCCATATCCAACCAGACCTTATGAAAAATATTTTATTTGATTATTAACCCGGGGAAACAGGGGCGGCACTAGACATTTATTTCTGGGGGGGGGGGGGGGGCAGGATCCGGGCAAAAAATTTTCGGTGGGGCAAATATATATTTGTAATTTGTATATTGTTGCTCTATATTTGGATTTTCCATAATACTATTAATGGGATTGATATTTTGGTATATCAGGTATTAAAGACATTTATTGTAATCATATAAATCAGACACTAATGTAAAAGAGAGGACTAGGTAAACTGATAAAAAGTAAAAATTTGTGTGGATTTTGGTTTTATAATTTATATTATTTTAAACATTACAACATTTACAACATAATTCGTCGATTATTATGGATGGAGGCAAATTTATCTACAACTATATCTAGATTTAAACTTTTGGATATTCTTTTTTCAATTTTTAATATAGCAACAGATGTTAGTTTTTCATTGCACATATGGTTTCTTAAATAAGTCTTTATTTGCCTTAGACTTGAAAATGTTCGTTCCACTCCTGCGCTTGAAGGTGGTATTATAATAGCAATTTTGCATAAGATAAATGTTTCTGAAAAAGCCATTTTATAGTTGTCTAATAGTTTTGCAAAATCAAGTATAGTCTTTATTTCATAATTATTTTCTTCTTTTTGTCTTTTTATTAATTTTGGTAAAAGTTTTAATTCTACTTCTAAGCTGTCTGTATCAACACCATAATGACTTGCAAAAGGTATAAATATATTGTCAAAATTTAAAAATGTTGAGTTTTTAGGATTTAATGAACTAATTCCATTCAAAATTGGGCTGTTAATTTTGAATCGTCTATTTAATTCATTTACTATCCTATCAATAACAGGATAAAATATCATAAGTCTTAAATCGTCATTATTTTGTATTTTTCTTGATTCTTGATTCAGATATTGTTTCCGTTAAATAATTAGCAAGATTAGCTGGTAGTTTTTT